ATAGATAGATAGATAGATAGATAGATAGATAGATAGATAGATAGATAGATAGATAGCAAAATGGATAACAACTTAAATGGTAGGAATATATTTTCATTTTTCTAAATAGACATCCAGGTTATTCCGCAAAGATAGATACAGTACATGCATAACATCATTCTGGCAGATTTCACCAATGGTGGATGAAAGCTTCAGAAAAGATTTGTCCCAAACTCTCCAATCAACAAATACAAAAAATCAAAATGGAGTATTTTTTTCTAAATGAACCAACTACAATATTTTCAAAGATCTACTTTTGCTTTTAACTAGAATTTACATCAATTACTGATTCTCAGTGTTTTTTGTTTGACTGAAGGAAACCAAACTGTTCCACAAATTCTGTTTAGATGATAGATAGATAGACAGACAGACAGACAGACAGACAGACAGACAGACAGATAGATAGATAGATAGATAGAATGGACAGACAGATATATTATTTGTCTAAGTGTGTATTTGTATATCCTTCCTTTTTAACTTGAACTGCAGAAATGGCATATCAAATCTCCAGTCTGTTGTTGTTGTTAGTAATCAATTGTTATTGGGTTGGAAGATATTTTAATCTGTGCTACTGAGAAACTTGAACTGAGAAAGTTCAAATCTGACTTAATTTAATTTACAGTAAATACAGTCCTCTTGCTTTGCTAAGATTAAACCCGCTTAGATAAACCTGAAGTGAGATGTGGGAAAAAAAATCTGAATCTCCCATCATCCACCCACAAATAACATATGATTGTACAATTCTTTAGAGAATTTAAGGATGACCAGTTATTTTTTCCATTTATAATGCCAGCATGAGAGTGGTACACTCAGTTTTTCTCTAAGCTTTAGTCATTTCAGTGGGACTTGCACAGACCTCCAGCAACTATGAACAGTGCTGAAATAATTGCAGGCTATCACATCACAAATGCTTAGTATATTATTCTGGCAGTTAATGCTAGATTTTATAGAAGGGAGTATGAAATACAGAAGTATTCCTTTTTGGTTTACAAATCCAATAAAATGTGTGTGGGTTTTCCTTACTGAAAAATAAAGCAGCTAAATTCATCTTAGTTTCATTTTATATAAAGTGAGGGCCACTTCTTAGACCACTCATGGTGAACCTATGAAATGTGTGTCAAAGATGACATGCCACAACATTTTGGGTGATATACCAGCGTTCACCAACACCCGACAACAACTATTCTGCCTGTTTGCGTTACCAAAGAAACTGAGTTTGTTTTACTTGTATTTCATTTCTGTAATTATCTGACCTTTCCTTATATAATACATAACAGCACACATGATTGGACTGTATTTTTTAAAATAAATGAATATATAAAGAATTGTTTCTCTTTTGTGGGATGGGAGGTGACATGCCAGCAGAGTCAAGTTAGGCGTTTTCCAAATTTTTGACATTCTGAGCCCAAAAGGTTTGTCATCGCTGTCCTAGACCTTGGGGTTATGGTGACCACTTTTTAGAACAACACAACTCTTTTCTCTACGTGGGTGGAATACCTAAATCCTGGATTTCCAGCAGGGCCTTTGAGATCCACCATGTACTTCTTGATAAGTTCCTTATTATCCATACAGCTCTCTGCTTTGCCTGCTTT